AACTCAAATACCTGTACTTTCTACTTCTTACATGTTGAACTCAAATACCTGTACTTTCTACTTCTTACATGTTGAACACAAATACCTGTACTTTCTACTTCTTACATGTTGAACACAAATACCTGTACTTTCTACTTCTCTCATTTTCCAAACAGGCTGGTTCCTTTAGTCTGAATGTGTGTTTGGTGGCGTGATCATTATTATTTAGAGTCATTGCGTGCCTATTGATTTGAACACGATCCGTGTATCCATCATTTCCTGGTCTTCTCTAAAGAAGAGGGACCAATGGAAACGTTGTCATGTTGCCGTTGTTCAGCATGGAAACATTCATTAGCTAACAATGACATTATTGTTCTATTAATATAAAGGGAGGTCAGGTACTCTTTAAAACAGCTGCTAGTTATGGGTACTTTTTACTGAAGTACATTTCAAAGTTCTTTACTTTTACTTGAGTAAAGAAGTTTAGTCAGTACTTTTACCAGAGTATTTTTAAACCTGAGTATCTGTAGTACTTGAGGAAAGGATGTGTACTTTTGCCATCTCTGCACTTTGGAAAGCTAACGTCTCGATCCAATAGTGTTAGCTTCTTTAGTAACTTCAGTGCTCTTACCTGCAGGCACGCTCAAGTTCAACCAGACACTCTGAATGTTTCTGAAGATGAACAGTCAACTGCTGTAGATGCAAAAAAGAAAAGAATAATTAATTATAGAAAGGATAATGGAGAGCAACAGAAAAGATGGAGATGGAGGTTTAGTTACCCGGAGACCCTGGATGTTCTTCAGGAGAATGTCACCGATGCGTTGATAGTCTCCTTTAATGTGGGCGTTCGATCGACCCTCCCTAAAGAAAAACGACAATTAATAAATGATCTTCTGTAGTTACATGCAGTCACCACTAGATGGCAGGCTACAGCTGAGTTTTCACCACAAAAGACTGGAAAATCTTAACTCAAAGCCCATTCATTTTACCCCTTTTTGGGGGTTTTCTGAATGGAAACAGGTACTGACCACTGAGCCAGACGCTGCTCCACTTCTTTGAGAAATCCCTGGTGAAACGTATGGATCGGATCATAACTGGAAGCGATCAAGTTCTTCACCGAGTCCGGGAGCCCCTCGTCTTTCCCCGCAACGCTCTGGAAGGACTGCAGGGCATAAACACAGGAATACATTGATTAAATATGCATTGAAGAAAAAAACAAGTTCTTTAAAAGATAATCATAATGCATAAAACAAAAAGGAAGTGGACTGTGTGACACCCCAAATAATATAATGTGGCTTCTTTGAAATTAGGAAATATTCTGGATGGATATTTATAATTTTTAATATGCAGGATGACCTTATATATAACCCATCTCTTCTTTTCTTTTCGTTATACCTGTGTTGTTTACGTTCTCAGTGTTATTATGGATTTTCTAAACGTTTTGTTTTTCATATTCTCATGTTGAATTTCTTGGATTTGAGACCTTCTACACGAGATAATAAAAGCCAATAAAATGACCAAATAATATCCAGAACAATCCATAACAGTAAAACAATAGTTAGTGCAACTCTAGTCTAAGAAAAGCAGGCTATGAAACAAATAAATCCACAAAATATAAATCCTTTTCTTCGGGAATTTTATTTAAAACTACCTTGACAGCAAAAAAGTTGTGACATAATA